TTTGTGAGACTTTGCTCAGACTTAAGATTCATCGAAATAGCAACCCTTAGCTTTGATCACTACGTCGCAAATTCTTGGCATGCGATGCAACAGTTTCTTGAAGTATGCTGCTGGCAGTGATTCCCATGCAGATTTCAAGTGTTCAAACAACTGTTTTTCGTTGCTAGGGTTGGAGCACCGGACCTGCCTATCAAGTTCATCCCATGCCAGTTCAATAGGAGAAAGGTCTGGAGACTGCGGTGGCCAAATCATGTTTCTTAAGACATTCTGCTGCTCTTTTGAATGAATGTAGTTCTGGAAAAGCTTTGAAGAATGTTTGGGGTCATTGTCTTTTTTAAAAATCTGAGGGTGGCCCCAAACTAGCCTGTACTGTAAATATAAGGCAACCAGCTATAAAGCATTTTTGAACTTGCTCAGCTTAAAGTTTCAAGTTCCTTCAAGTTTGCAGTGAGTTTCTGCAACCACTCTGATTTGTAGTTGAGCAAACTCAAAAATGCTTTGCAGCAGGTTGCCTTACTCTTTTAAGTAAAGCAAATATTTATTTTTTACTGAGAATTTCCGCCCACCTCGGCATTCATTGGAAGTGGCGATCATGGTCACTCCGCTTTCAGTTCAGGATTTCTAGTTCTTCTACGGGATGCACTTCAGTGTGCTATTTATCTCAAGGTCGTTGTGGTGCCATCCCACCTACGCACATCGCCAGGTGCCGTTGTTTCCAAGAATAAATAGGCGCCCCCATTGCATTTTTATTCATTGCACAGGTATGCCTTATGGCCACAACTAAGCATGCTCAGTGTTCCCGGGAATTAGTTACATTAGAAGCCAGCTTGACACATATTTCATACGCCATCTCTCAGGTAATGCTAAAGTACAATTCTCAAATAGGTAAACAGTTTGTATTCAGGCCAAGGCCTGCTTGTGAGGCCCCACCAAATTAAAAGTTTAGCTGGCATATAGACTCATAAATGCAAGGCCTCCTTCAGGGTCCGTGTTTAAACGCCAGTTGTGAAATTTTAGCACTTTTGGTACCCTTTAGGTTTTAAGGATCACTGAGACCTCTTAAAAAATATGCTAATCTGCGGATAATCCAGCGATGCATTTAAAAAAAATATCTATTTGATTTGGATGCTTTCTAATGCAGACCATGACAGTCAGTATCTGAGAGAGGCAGCGAACAAACCACTGCGCAGAAATACTGCCACCTTGTGGAGAGATTTATTTTCCGCTGAAGTTAAGCCAGATGTTTCAGTCTTGCCGTCAAGGGATGAATTTAATCTATTTTTAAAGGCATGCTCAATCCTCCTTCTTTCGATCCACAAACTTGCTGATTCAAAGAAAAAAAATCAAGTTTGAATTTGTTTTGAAAAAGAATCCATCCTAACGAATTATTCATGATCTACTGAAAATGTTATTTTCATGGTCCACCCCCCCCCCCATCCCCGCTCTCTGGAAATTCCAGGAGCTTTTTTGAGCCAATCACTTTCCTGTGTAATACAATAGTTTCCCTCCGTGGGCGTGGCTAAGACTATTTCACAATGTCAGCACTGTCCTATTAGGAAGCAACTGACCACAGCCTTTCATTTGCCCTGCGACCTACGACATTGCATGTTTGTGTGTGTCTGTGTGCGTGTGTGTGTGTGTGTGTGTGTGTGTGTGTGTGTGTATGTATGGGCTTGCATAGCTATACTTGTGAGGACCAATTCTTGAGAAGCCACATGTGTTATGAGGACGTGTGGGATTGTGAGGACAGTTTGGGTGGTCCTCACAGATCACGGCTTATTGGTTATAGTTATGGTATAGTTATGGTATTGGTTAGTTATGGTTACGGTTACAGTTAGGATTAGATTAAGGTTAGGGTTAGGCATGATTTGCTTACAGTCGAGGTGTAGGACAGGTTGTACAGAATGAATGTGAGTCAATACAATATTCACGCAAGTATTACCAAAAAAGTGCCTGTGTGTGTGTGCATGTGTGTGTGTTTAAAAGAGAAAGAGAGAGAGAGAGAGAGAGGAAAAATATTGCATTCACCTCCATACTCTTCTTACCTGACGCAGGTACAGTGTATCAATAGATTTCACATTGTATTATACTGCAAATTAAGAATTACCTGCAAATATGTTTTGCACAGTATTTTCTGCTCTGAAATTTCAATTCCACCATAAACCTCCCTCCTCCACCCCTCTGCATTCAAAATTACTGCCACACCTTTGCCAACAAATACTTTACTGCTCATTAGACCTCAAATTCAATCATATATCATCAAAATTCATTTAAAACCTTTGCTTAAACTGTAGAACAGTAGCTGTAGAATTTTAGCATTCAAAATAATATTCTACGGTATTGTAATATCGCTACCCTAGACAGGGCAGCTGCATGATCGCGTCACTCCCTCAAATTTTATTTTTCAATTCTCTCTGCTTTCTCTGATACCACCTGAGATTGATGTCTGCGAGCAGGACTGTTTGCCTCCATCTGTTCCTTCCCGAGATTTTGACTTCCCATCTCTCTCCTCTTTAGAGAGCGCAGACGGTGTTCGAGACGAGCCTGAATAAGTATCCCACATTTATCAGCCAGTGTCGTCCCTAGACTATGCATCTCCGCTAACAAATTCATCTGTCTTCTTCTTTGTTTTTAAAGAAAATGATATTTAATCCAGATTTTGTTTTCGCACAATACAGATATGAGACTTGTATGATACCGAAACAATCGTATAAAAGTACCACTCTTAAGCCCAGTCATTCAGATTCTTTGCAGCTGTCATCACCATTGCGATGAACACCGCCAAGAGCAAGTATTATGTATTGTTATGCTGAATTTCAGATGCGTGCAAAACAATGTCCACGGGTCCTCCACTGTAATTAATTAAGCCTCGGCACTGGCAGCTGTGACAGGCCCTCTCGGCGAATCAAATCAAATGAAATCATGTTCAAATCTATTCAGTTTTCGCATGATAGTCACATCCTTCCTTCAGTCTAAAGATGTACTTAGAATTACCTTTATAAACAAACTTCAGCAAAAAAAAAAAAAAAGAAGAAGAAAAAAAGCCTATCTTTGTAACCGTGACAGCAGTCCTTTGGGAAACGCAATGTAAAAAGCCACTTAAAACTCTTCAGGAAAAAAAAAAACGCAAGTAAGAAGTAGCTGGGAGTGAAATACACAATACGCTAAGAAGGCCTGGTAAATCTCATTGACTTATAAGAGGAAAGAGCAGCAGAACAGGTGCAGATGCGGGCTGTTTGTTAATGGAAAGCAAGTGCTTGTGAGCAGTCTGGCCCTGGGGGACTTGTAGGAACCCAGAGGTAATAAATACTGATAAGGAACTCTATATAGTGCCGCTGCTCTGCTCGTGACAGGGTGAAGATTAATCCTTTATATTAATAACACCGTCTGTCTTCATAAGGACTATCTGCGCTGGGGGGTTCGGGGGGGGATACAAAACATAGCAATTAATCACACGCTGACGCTTGTCAGGATCTCTGGAGTGAGGCAACTAACAAGAGGCATGACCGCCCCCCGCCCGACCCTCCTCCTCTCCCCAGCACACCCCCACCCCCACACCCCATCCCGTCATTAGGCCTACGTGTGTGGTATTGCCTCTGCGTCGTGCGGTTGCCATGTTTGCGAAATATGGTCACTATAATGTCTTGTACTCCTCACAGTACACTGAAACTCAGCCACATGGCGACATAATAAGGGCGTGATGACGCACCCTGGTTTACTTCTGGTAGCGGGATTTTAGCGGATTGCGAGACACTGAGAGTGGGTCTCCCCACCCCCCCAGCTCATTACCGCCGTGTCTCCAGAGCCAGCCTTGGCTTGCTAGCCACTGGATGACCCTGTCAAATGAGGGTGGTTGATTTGCGGTGAGCATACTATTTCTGAGCACGTCATGTTGGTAAATCAAAATGGTGGACAGAGTAATGGTAAAATGATGCAGGTGAACATATGCGGGGTCATCAGGCTCGAGAGTGAACTAGAGCGTTAGCAGGTTCGGTGCTTTGCGGCCCTGACCGCCACCTTTTCTCAACCTTTACTTAACCTGACAAGTCATGAATTTGAAACAATTTCATACGGAGGAGTACAGCCTGAGAGAAATAATAGAGAGAACCATTACAAGTAGGAGAATGAGAATGAGTGTGAGGACCTGATATGGCCTTGGGGTTTGCTTGAGGGCCCAAATGGCCGGGACCGGACTCAGGACTCAGGGACAGACAGTAAATCATTTTAATAGGTTTATTTGCAGAGCTTCTCAATGTCAAACAGTCTGGGTTAGAGCCAAACAGTGAACATGCAGTGCAAGAGTATAAGTCCAAATTGTAATTAAGGGTAGGTCTGGGGTTCAAAAGCCAGACGGTCGGAGTGCCAAAGTAAGGTAAAATTTCTAATCATTAACCATTAAGCCAGCCAAAGTCGTAATGCATAAATCACAAGTAGGCAATCTTAAAAACAATTTGACAAAAGGCAATCGTAACCAGAGATGAGAACACTCAGAAATACAAGAGTTGTATGTGACTCGGGAAAAGGCAACAAACTCGCAAAGAAACAAACGCAAAAGTTGATCTAAATTCTGTAAAAGGGAGAAATGAACAAACAAATGAATGAGCAGGAACAGGTGTGCTGGAGCTGGGAAGCGTGACTCGGGTCGTGGTTACAAACAAGGAAACTGATAGGACATAATTCACATACGGAATGGGGAGGGCAAGTGTGGCAGTGAGGAAATAAACAATCGCTTGAGGAAACTGAACGGGCAGTGAAGGTAACAACGAAAAAATAAACACGATAACAGAATGGAAAATATTAAACAAAAGAATATATGGAAAATGATAAAATACTCAGGAATTCATAATCACAGAACTCAAACACTGACACCAATAGAAAATATGCAAGTCAGAGTCCCAAGATCCACCGGGGAAGTGAACCATCGACTCCATTGTCACTGGTCAAGCAATTGATATGGGGCCACCATCCCACATTCTCACTTTTTTAAACAGTAGCCATAAGTGTCAGTGGTGCAGTGGTGAGCGCTGTTCCCTCGCAATGAGTTTCTGGGTTCAAGTCCCATTCAGGCAGGAGCACCTCTCGGTGGGGAGCTTGCGTGTTCTTCCTGTGTTTGCGTGGGTTTGCTCAGGTACTGCAGTTTCGCCCATCCTTAACAAACATGCCCTATAGGAACACTCCTAACAGTGCTCCTGACCAAAGTTCTGGCTTTAGAACTGGAGTTCTGATGCTGGACTGTGGCTGCCCACTGTTCCTCAGTAACTAGGATGGGTCAAATGCAGAGGAAAAATTACCCCACAGGGTTCAATAAAGTATATCACTCCTGCTGGGCACATGTGGGGGATATTAGTACTCAGGTACTCACCTAAACTGAGATGAGGACAGAGGTGTTCATTTTCCTGCAGCATTTGTAATGGTTTGATGGGAGAGGAGAAGTGGGAATTCAGCCAGGATTTGGCTAAAGCCCCGATTTTCCAGTGCCACGGGAGATTTACTCAAGCTCCATAAACTGCAGTCCGCCTTGACTAGGGCACATGTCCGGACGCTGGCTGAAACTTGTGACCAGTACAGTGATACCTGGAAGAACAGTGTCTCAAAGCTCCAGTAAATCAGGTTTCCTCAGCACAGGGTGGAAAACTGAAAGTTAGGCATGTACGTAAATTTGCATTATATGGTTATTGATTGACAAAAAGACTGACTGCTACAAAGACATGATCACAGAGAGCGACAAACCATCGTCCACCCCTTTTAGTATGTGTATTACACAGCCCTCCCACCCAGTGTACTTGCCAGTCTCCCAGGATTTATCTCTGCAAGGAATGGACGTCCGCTATAATTCAGTGCCATGCCCCTCTCCTCCTTCACACTGCATCACTCTCGGCCGTGTCCCAATCGCTGCACTGGGAATCATAAGCTTGACACTGAGAGAGAGCAGTCAGGTGCCCAAACTGGTGATGTGTGCACTGGCCCTGCCTTTAAAACACAGGAGTAGGGGAGACCGGGTCTAGTTGTTACATGTCCATGTTGTTACATTCTAAATAACAAAACACAGATGGCGCTCTAATTTTTTCGTTGCTCCACGAAGGTGACCTGCGTCTTTACGTGACAGAAGGATGTACGTCAAAAGTCGCAGGTTAGTGTTCCAGAAAAAATGCTTGAAAAAGTAACTTTCTTAGTGTTTGGGAGATTTTGACTAACATCAAGTGTAATTGATACATACCCGAGATTTTCTGGATTATGAGAGAGGAAGACATTAGCCACTGTGTCATGACACACCCATGTAAACATTGCACTGGAACATTTCAAAATGTCGGGACAATGGCGAAGGGTTGCTGATGGACTAGTTGATACACCCAAGTTGTAACAGTAAGAACTTGCCCCAAAACCTGTAACAACTTGGACAAGATCAAATTACCTCACTGAATGACTGTCTACCTTTTTTATTTCAAAAAAGATGCCTCGAAATTACAAACGAATAACGAAACATGGCAATGCCATTAGAGAATGACTCAAGAGGTTCCTTACTGTAGCTTCGTGGGATAATAGTAGTAAGGCATCCCCCTTAACTTGCCTACTTAAGTGGGAAACACGTCTCAATTAAGCAAATTCAAAGTGTAAAAAAATGCCCCAAAACCTGTAGCAAACTACCCCTCCTGTAACAAACTACCCCATATATGGGGTAGTTTGTTACAGGTGACAGGAGTCTATTTTTTCCTCACCAGCATTACGCATGCGCGGAATATAGGGGTTGCTGCAGATCAGTCATGTAGTCTAATAAACTTCCTATCTTTACTGAGCATATTGATAACAAAAACCTGATAATGTCAATTCTACAGCCGTTAAAAGAAAAAGTGTAACAACTTGACCCGGGCTGTGTCCGAATAGTCTTTTTTGCTTGGGAAAGTTCCTAACTCCTAAAAAATGATCCGGAAATAATTACGTGGCAGCCATGATAAGTGGATTCGAATTCTTCAAATGAAGAATGGTGTCTCAGTGCTTCCTAATTTACCACCTTTAGCATAGGGTACACAGAGCCATCCTTTCCGTAAAGAAAGGAGGTAAAGTTATCCCACAATTCTGCGAGCTGCAATATTTAAAGCGGCGACCACTCATCCGACCAATCGCGTAAAGAAGCGTATATGATGGGCAGGGGACTCAAGATCACACTGCGTAGTGTAAGTGCATTCGGATTCTCTAATTAGCGCGGTTGTCTTCCTAAGCCGTTAGGAATTCCCTTTTACTCCTTTCCTTTACCTTATGACGTTTTCAACAAAGGTTAAAGAAAAGTGGTTATGAATTAGTGGACAGGCCATAATTTTTTGACTATTCGGACGCAGCCCCAGTCATCAAGTAACAAGCTCGTGTCAACTCTAGGTTCAATAATGCTCAAACACTGCCACCTTGTGGACATTTGAGATGTCCATCCATTTCCTCACCTGCTTATTTCTGGGCTGTACTGCTGGAGCCTATCTCAATATACAATAAGAGAGAGACGGGAACACACCCTGGGGTACGTTTCCCAAAAGCGCAAATGGTAACTTACATAGTTGGAACCATTGAATGTACAGTATATGGCTGGACTATAGTTAGCAACTATGCTTTTGGGAAATCAACCCCTAGATAGTTCTCCAATTCATTGCACGGCTCACGCACCATTCAATCTATCACTCATACATGTGAGCAATTTAGAGTTTGGCTTAACATGCAAGTCTTTGGACAGTGGAATAATGTTTAGAAAAACCACAGAATGTGCCTTTTCTGAAAAGGCTTCAGACCTGATTCAAACTTCTGACTTTCAAATTTTTGGGAACAGCAGTAAACAAATCTGTTTTTAAATTAAAAAAAAAAATCAGATTTAATCACCTTTAATTATGATTAAAGACTTGAATCAGGTTAATTGTGTTGAATATGAATCTCATGCCTCTTTGCTGTGACAAAGTCTCCTGACAGAGTCAATTTATTTTTTGAATCATTTTAGGGATTCTAATTTATTACACAGCAGGTTGAAAGGGCGACTTGCCTGTTTATGTGGTTACCTTCAAATTGCCTCTGACATGAAAATGTATTGAAAGCAGTATTAATTTCATTTTTCATCTTTTCAAAAAGAAGGATAGATAATTTTTTTGTCCCTGTCACATCATATTTAGGTGATGGACGGGACCAAATCAACATCCAATGCAATTAAAGTGGCTTTGTGATCAGGCAGAGGATACAACAGGGCAATGTTCCCTGCACTAAACATGATGTCATAAACCTGGGACACAAATGACCTGCCTGGGCTTCTGTTCTGATGTGACCACAAGCTCTCAGGAAGGCTCTGTACCTTTTAGATGCATGGGGACCAGATGAAAAATATTTCTGCTAATGTGTAATCACTCTATTACTCAAGACCAGCAGCAAGATATCACCTGCTGTAAATTATGGTAACGGGTTGGTTTATATCATAAATCGAGAGGATAAAATGCTTTCCTAGTGATAGTTCAGCTTCTATAATGTGAAATAAGACCTTGTGTGTGCCATTTGTTGAGTTCCTGTCATCATCTCTGCGTGGTTTTGAGTGTCATTTTAGAACAGATGCCATATGAATATGAAACATTTGCACCATGTGACCTGACTAAGGTTTGTCCTCTATCTGCCCAAACAAGCAATGGTGCATCTGTGATGTTGCACACAGAGGACTTCAGTTTCTCACATGCGCACTGTAGGAGGCATTGATAGTGACTTGTTCCTCTTTTAACCAATAGATACCTAAACAAATAAAGTGCAGTTGGTATTTAGAATAAGTTCAAGCCTCATATATTTAGGTTTGGTAAATTTTTGAGCAGTGGATATTTGTCAATTTTTAGGTTTTGATAAGGAGCCTAAAATGAAAAAATCACATCTAAATGCCATCCTTTGATCACATTCTAATACTTGAACACTCGTGTGCTAAAGTGTCCTGTTAAAATGTTGATGGATGGCATCTTGGAGTTAGAGGGCACAGCAGGACTATGAGAGAGGCAGCTGTGGAATGCTGGTTAGTTCATATTGTGCTCCTGACCATAGACTGTATAAAAAGATGGACGCAGCACCCGGGTCTAAAAACTGAGGCCAATGCGGAAATCTCTTAAAATTGCATTCTATTTAATGGCCAGCAGGTGGCGACATCGGTGGCTGCAGAAAGAAGTTCAATTTTATAGATGTCTATGAGAAAATGACCCTACTTTCTCCCTGATTTATTATTTCAATAATGATTTTCCACATTATTTTGTGGTATCTATCGCAAGTATCAAGTCTCCTTCGATTAATTATGATGTTCAGTTTTGTAAATTGTGGTCACAAATAGACTAGAATAAAGGATAAAGCCAGAATATGCTTTTGGGGGCGTGGCTATCCTCTGGTCCTCCTCAGATATAGTCAGATCCACCCATAGATCCATCCCTCGCTCCCCTCTGGACCTTCAATTCACACTCTCGTTCAATAAGAAACACATCCAGTTTCAAAATGACAAAATGGCACAGTTAAAATTGCCAAAATCGAGGCTTCCTAAATGGTATGCTGAAACCAATGGGTGACGTCACGGTTGCTTCGTCCATCTTTATATACAGTCTATGCTCCTGACAAGTATGTTTTTCTCTGTAGACTATATGCCGTCAATCACTTCACAAAGTACTCAATGTGAAGCACATTGTAGCTTATCTTTAACTGCCTACTCAACCTTTTGGTTTTAGTCACTGTATCTAACTGAAAGATGCGTTGAACTTAAATGATTGGATTTTTTTCAGCATAACATACCTCAACTGAGTATTAGAGATGACTTTATCAGGTTGAGTGACATTCAACACATCTTTCAGTTAGAAACAGTGACTCAAAACGAGCTCTTCTAAAAGGCAGAGGCTGTTAAAGGGTTTAAAAAAAGACCTACCGATTTAAAAAACCAGCTGTTGGCCCTGTGAGTCTTAGTTTTGAACTCGGCAATCCACTGCCTATCAGAGAGAGGTCAAAAGGTTACTTGAAATATTTAGCTACAAGAACCCACGAAATGCCCCTGTAATAGCCGATAAAAAAGTCAGCGCCCTTTTTTTCAGCAAATTA